TGGCGCTCGCCCCCGTTCGCCTGTCCACCTGCGGCTGCCTTGGACTTTGCCGGTGCCTTTGTCCGGCTGCCTCGACCTCCCCTTGTGGCCTTGGACTTGTGGTCTGTGCCGTCCTGTCCGTTGCGTTCCTTGCGCCGCCACCTGGTGTGGCTTGACCATTGCCTCGGCTGGATTGCCACTATCCTCCACCTGTCTCACAAGGGCCGTCGCTGTCATTTGGACGCTAGTGCTGCTGGATTAGACGGCGGCTCGCTGGCACCATGGCTGCGCACAGTTTGTCAAGCTGCTCCTGCAGCGTTGACAGTTCGTTTCACTCCCTGAATTCGAGTTGCTTTAGGCGCGTTCGACTGGACACAAGGCCTTCCGAAAGAAAAAAAAAAAGACTCCCCCGCCCAGCGAAGCACTCACGGAGAAAGAAAAGGCTGAGGTAGGAGCTGTGTAGGCTCGCCGAGTGCGAAGACGAAGTTGAAGTCAAAGTTCTCAAGGGACAGCACAGCGGCGGTCACCGGCGGTCACCCTCCGGGAGCGATGCACAACTATCTCGCCCGCAGGAGGGATGGGCAGGAAGCGGGCAAGGATCTCCCCTTGAGCCAAAATGGCTACGGTTCGTTCTCTCTCTCTCTCTCTCTCTCTCTCTCTCTCTCAGCTCATCGGTTTCCAAAGCAAGTTTCGGGCCATAGCAAGCGTTCTTATCTCGCTGTTCATGTGCCCTTTTCGCGCCTGCACTGCGACTTCTTTTCTTTGTAACTCTGGCTCCCATGTCATTTTTGAAATCCTCCTGGTCACGAAGCACATGCCCTTTTCGGCCAACCTAAGTCCGATCTGCATCCTCACAAGCTGTGGCTCCCACCCGCAAACTGAGGCAGCAGCTCGGGTCGCTTGAGCCAGAGCGCCTGGAGTCGGACAGCAAATACGAAGTCTCTGACACCATGGGATTAGGCATCAAGCGTGGGCAGCGTGCAGGTTGCTTTACACATCGGGTTGCTCAATGCAGTTTTCAACTCCCGCCATGCTGACGTTGCCCTTTTTTTGGGAGCTGGCCTACGGCGTTCATCCAACCTGTCGCCTGGAAAACAAGTAAGCACTGTAAGCCACCGAGTTGCTATGGCCGCTGCCACCAGTGTGAGGATGGCCCAGCACGACGAGGTTACAAGCCATCCAGTCCGTATGGATTCGTGCTGCAAGCCGGTCGGGGGTGGTTGTCCTTCAGTGTGGCATAATTTGTGGCATTCGTTGCGCCCATCAATCAGAAATGCAGGCAGGGGGCCTCCCACGGCTCGAGCGGAGCTGTCCACTGTCTGGTTCGATTCCACCGGTGATGAGGGCCTAGACTTCATCTGTACCACGGATGCGGCAAAGTCCAAGACGAGCAATGGGAATGTGTGCCACTTTGCCCAGGCGCTGGTGTGACGCATTGTGAACCACAGGCCTCACTGAGCACAAGCATAAACGGCATGCGTGACCTTGTTTTGTGTGAAACATGGATACAATACCGTTGGCTGGCACCAAGAAGCGGCTTGCGGGAGTCTGCCGCTGAATCCACTAGAACTTCTTCTTTAGATCGCACCTGCGGACAAAGTGTGTGGGCATACCAAAAGCTGTCGGAACGGACAATTGCTTGTAGCAGATGCGCCGAGAACCCTGTAATATACAAGCGGCGGACAAGGACCATGCAATTCAGCCGGAGTGGCATGTCTTTTGTGGTGGCTATGCCGGTCTTGTGTGTCGACCTGTGGACAACACAGTACTTTCATGCACACAAGGAGACCAAATCGCGGACAGCAGTTTCTGGGAGTCGTGCTTCCTGCTGGTCGTCGTCGTATCGGCTGCTTTCGCGTCTGCTGACATCAGGCTCTGCTTCATCATCCTGGCCGTCACCGGGGTCCTTCCACGTAGGCACCGGCTGCAACAGTCAAAGATGAAGCGAAGGTCAATGCATGGGATTGGCAGCATCAACTGTGATAGCGTCGTCTTTGTCCTCGGGGAGGGAAGCTCTTCGATCTTCCGAAGTGTCGTCATCCGCTTCATCATCTTGGTAGTCTTTTCGTGCATGTCTTCTGTGGGCAGAGTGGCGTACCTGAAGGTTCCGCAGATAGGCTGCAGTGTCTTGATCATACACTCTCATATACCCTGCTCATCGGATTTCCAAGTGCCTGCGGCGCCGCATGGTGCCTTAGGCAGACATGAACCGTGAAGCGGAGCGGGGCTCCGCAATGCAACATAAGTCAAGCAGAAAACTCCCGAAGGCGATGGTCTGCCAGGATACCTGCCCTTTCCACTGCGAGTGCCTGGCAAGCGCTGGTACCAGTGCGACAAGCAGCACGTCAGTCTCGCAGCAACTGGGTGCATGACTCGATGATCTGCCCGCCTTATCTGCCCAGCTGAGGCAGCGATCTAGTAGCATCTAGCAGCTTAGCATCATTACTGCTGTGCGGAAAAGATCGCACAGGTCCCTGTGGCCCTTGCTGCTCTGCCAGAGAGTTCTACGAAGGACGCCGGCAACGGATCATTTGCCTGAGCCAGGCTACCACATAACATGTACTACGACCGCAACGTAAGAACGGACTCGCTCATCTGGAAAACTTTGTGCAAGTAGGTTCAGTGTTCGCCGTTGACACAGCTGCACATGGTGCCCATGTCTTGTTTTTTGATTGCTCGCCATTCGGGTCCCGGGTCCTCTCTACGATCGCTTTGACAGGTCCGGTCGGAAGCCAGCTGTCGCGTAGCCTCCACATTGGCAACAGCTGGGACGGGGACAAGGCGCCCCGGAAGCTCACCACTTACATGCCTGCGTTCTCGCAGGTAGTCCATCACCAAATCTCGGAAGAGCTGGTGGTGAGTGTAGGTGCGCTCGCATTTGCAAAATGTTCGAACACCATCCGCCGCAACTTCACTGAAGAGCCGGTTTATCGCCACCAAATACTGCTCATCCGGGTCAACTGCTCGACCGTCCATTTCTAAGCCTGTCAGGTTCAGTGCACCGCCAACTGCTCCGCTGAAGGGGCAAGACTCATGTAGCATGTTGACAAGATCTTTCGCATGGAAGGAAAAACCACTGGAAACGTCGGGAAATAGCTTGCCTTGTACTCGCGCAAAGGGCGGAGCGCTCGGATCATAGCTGACAGTCATACCTTGGCCAAACTCCATGCCTCTGTGCTGATCTCACCGCGCGCTAATGGAACAAACAAAGCAGAGATTGCAACTGCTTATAGGCTTTTTGGCACTCACGCTCGACGGAGTCAGGCGAGGATCCCAGAAGACAACAGCTAGACCAACAGGGTTAGGTTGAACTCTCAGAACACTGATTAGGCTTAGGCAATGGGGGACATTGACATGGCACCCACAACTTGATCTAAGAGACCCTTGCAGTGCCAAAGTGCCTGTTGACACGTGCGGAAAGCAACCCACTGGAGTTGGAGCCGAGGCCAACATTTCCTCCAAAGCATAGCGCAGGCTCTGGCCTGTCATACGCACCACCGCCGGGCACTCAGCAAACGGGAGTTCCTCGCTCACCTGGAAGCGATCAAAGACTTCGCAAAATGACAGGCGCAAAACACGGATGTGGCAATCGACGTGCAATCGCCCCTGCCTGCCGAGCTGTCAAGACGGAATGCGCTGGGTACACCCTGTCCTGGCGACAACTGGAGCTAGGCCAGCTGTTTGCTTGAAACTCTCGGCACTCCTGGCGGATGAATCCCCCGTTGATGATGGCTCCATGGCAGCCGTGCGGGCGGCAGGCCCACAACGCAGCATCCGCAACCAAACAGCCAAATGCATTTTCAGTGGAACGGAGTTCATACGTCCGACTGGACAGCGGCGATCCCACGACGCAAAGCTCCTCCTCCGCATGTCGACACGGAAACTAAACTGCCCATGGCCTGCATTGCCTTCTCTCGCACCTAGCTGATTACTTGTTGGTCCTCGGTGCTGGTGGTCGATTTCTTCCACCTGCAAACAGCCTCCACCACCGCGGGATCCTCTTTGACGGCTGCAGTGCTGTGAAAGTGGAAGGAATGCTTCACTTCCACGCCAGCAAGAGCTCGCGTCAGGTACAAGTCCAGAATGCCGACATACTCCTGACACATGCCAGAAAACCAACGAAGATCCGCGACATGCACAGTCAACATCCGTGGACGAGACAAAAGCAGTTCGTTCACAGCCAGGGAGCAGCATTCTGGCCACATTTAGCAATTAGCACGCCGTGGTGGATCAAGTAGTATGGGTCATGGTCGTGGCCTCCGGCATGCACGGTTCATAGAGGTCAAATCTCACCACTTTGAACCCTGTGCCCTGCTTTAGGACTATCGTGCAGCTGCCTCCCAGAATAACATGGATACCATCGCAGGATTCGGCCAGCTGCTTGTCCTGATGAAGGCTTAAGTGCGTCAGGGCCACGATCAATTCGCAGCCAGAGGCCCGAAGAGCCTTTACGCACCTGTCAGGGCAAGGCACCCTCCCACAGAGGCAGCGTTGCTTGAGAGTTCCCATGTGCAGTTTGTTGAGACAGAACATACCGCGAGTCGATATACCACGGATCGCAGCAACACTGCAACGTCTGAGCTCACAAGAAGTGGCGGCTTTCTTTGAGACACGGTCTGAGGCCGTCATACCGCATGTTGCCCAGGATACTCTCTGAAGACCTAAGTGGTCTGAATGCTGGACACCTGGCCTCGTGAGGCGTTCTTAAAGAAGCCAGTTGCGGTCTAGGTGGTTTTGAAGCCGTCATTTGTTCTGTAGACTAACACAGTTCGAGGTGGTCCGATAACAACAAGTGGCATCGGCCATAATGAACTTCCAGTTTACTAGCGGCCGAACGCTCAAAGCGTTTGGTTGTACCGTAGCTGGTTCGTGTGTAAGCCCTCGCTAGCAAGAACCACTCAGATCGCCTCCTTGCATGTGAGATAGGGTCTTCGAAGCTGATATTGTGTCCCGGGTCTGAAAGCTGAGGGGTAGCTGGAGTGCATAGGCCAAACAGGCCACAAAGGACAGGGCCATGGCTGGACTGCACCCAGAAAGTGTCCGAATCCAGAGCAGTATGAAAGATGGACTGCGAGTCGCGGTCGCGTACGTTCGAGCCGAGCCATGGGAACCGGGACTTGTCCATCAGCTCTCGGAGGCGCTTTTCACCGTAGTCAAACTCGTGATTTCCCAAAAGGCAGTAATCAACTCCCAAGGAGTTCAATACGTCAACGGTCGATTCTCCCAGATGCTCACTAGCATATAAAGAGCCGCCAAGCAAATCTCCAGGCAACACTTGCTTGACGAGTACACCAGGGTCTACAGCCGCTCGGGCAACTGTCCGAACCAAGGCCAGTCGCTCGGGCTTGTAGACGTCATTCACAGACAAGATCCGGAGGTCCGGCAGCTTGAAGTCTGGATCCGGGGGAAACCACGCCCGGAAGCAGCCCACGAAGCACTGCATCGGCGAGACATGCTTCACCGTCGGGGCATCTATGCTGCAGGGCTTGATCCCAGCATGCCCAATGCAGACCCATACTGCAACATGCAGAACTCACCATGCATGTGAGTCTTGATTTGGAGCTTGCCTCTCCAGGTTGCAATGCCTATTTGCTGTTAGCCTGAGGTCCTTGCTATGGGATCGAGTAGTTGCTCGTCCACGTCGTCCCGCAGGGCGTACACCGCAGTTGCCACAGCAACAATCCGGAACGATTTCATCAGCCTCTGTCATGTCAGATGAGAACGGCCCAGCGCCACACAACGAAAGAACCCATGCATCTCCACTTGCCTGAATTCGCAATGCCGGGCCTTGACATGAGTGCCTTGCCTTCGCAGAGATACGTGAAACCGGAGGCCTTAGCTACGGGGCCAGCAGGGCCGGGGAGGAAAGAACAACATAGCTTTTCTGGAGTTGGCTACCGCATGTACATGACATTCGCAAGGCAGCAAATCGGCGTCCACTGTCGGTAGACTTGGCAGGGCTGCTTTAGTTACGATGCAATGAATGTCCGTGCTCACTCGCAGCACTGTAGAAAGTAGGCAGAACCATACAGGCCACCAGCACTCCCTGATCCCATGTAGATGCGTGGGCGAATGATACCTCTTCTTCTTCCACTGGGCATAAGGGACTGGACACGTCCCTCGGCCACATGGGCCCCCCCATGTGTTATGGGGCTTTGAAGAGACTGTGATACCTCTCTCTCTCTCTCTCTCTTTGCTTTAATTTGCTCGGGGTTAGAGCTGCAGGCAGTCCCCGTCCCTCTTTCCTTTCGCCAGGGCTGTGGTGCAGGGGGTTTCCCCCCTACACCGCGCGCAGGTGCGCCCCCGACAGGTGCCCCGTCCCTCTCTCTCTCTCTCTCTCTCTCTCTTCCACACAGCTAAAGGAGCACGGGTGCCTCTCTCTCTCTCTCTCTGTCTCTCGCGGACTCAGAGGTCTGTCAGCCGCGCGGTCGCCTAGCACGAAACCCATAATTTCATTCGTACCCTCGAAGCATGTTTTACGCATGCCAGAGCTTTCACTGTCGAGTTGAATAGCATGTTGTTCTCCCCCCAGCTGCAATTTTTTTATTAGTTCAATGCGAAGTTTTGCTGAAATGGATGCAGACAATCAAACATATGCGTGCACGCGCACAGGCAGGGACGAACAACTCTACGTGTTGAAGTTTCCTGCCAACTGATGCAAAGACCAAGGTGCATACCTCTTCATATGCAGCCCGAGGCACACGGGTGCGCACCGGGTAGGCGTTGGTTTAGCTGACTGAGCCACCAGGCTACACATGGATGTAAATATCGCACATTATTCCAAGCGGAAGCATGACCCAACCACAGCTAAGCAAGCAAACCGCAACAGCGGGGGCTTACCCGGAAGCTTGTGCAGCCTGCACTGCGGCAGTGTTGCCAAGAGACAAATTCTTCGTGCGGCCTAAGCTAGCCAAGTTCTTGCTCCGTCCAGGGACTGCGCAGCTAGCGAAATCCCAACACTTTCTGGGGTCCAAACTCAACGCCTCTGCCTGTACAGCATGAGCCGCGAGACTGCACACTTTACACAGGCTCTGCACCTACAACATGCTCGGAGATTCTGTCTTGCCCAAAACACTGGCAACCACTTTCAACAAATTTGGTCTGACGGCAGGCCGCCTGATGGATTCGAGCGATCAAGACCGATGAACTGTTGACACCAAGGAGGGGCCTGCAAGCTCAGCTCGTGAACTGTGGCAACGGCTGCATGCAGCTCAGAAAAAAATCGGCGTACCCTCCAGCCATAATCTCGGCAGCCAAGTGGACCTTGATGAGATGCGATCTCTCGCGGCTCTTCAGTAAGTACCGAGGGCCAGCAGAAGGGCCCTTCAACCTCTGCTGAGGCAAAAAGCTGGCAGTCCACGCAGGCTGATCTCGGCTCGTTGGTCCACTCCTCGCTGGTGCGGAGCAATACTGTACGTGAACAGATTGAAGTGGAGAAGAAAACGCACAACAGCGTCTAAGAGGAGCGGCCGCTGGCCCTGCAGAACAGGGAGATCCTCGGAGCACGGAGGTGCCGCGAGAACCGCTCTGTTCAACTCGGAGCCTCGGAGCCCTTTGAGCCTTTCGAGATGCCGGCTGATCGTTCTGACCCGGAGCCCCCTGGCCGGCGGCCCGGCCGCCGAAGTTCCCCAGCCTGGCTGAAGACACAGGCCCTGTAGATATAAACATCTTCTAGTTGCTGCCACCTGTGCGACTAAACGCTCCGCAGAAACACAATGCTGCAAGAAGGCTGGAGCCCCCCCTCAAGTCCTCCGCACCTCTTTAGCTTCTTGTACGCACAATGCCAAACATGCTTGATCCGAGAGCCGAGCGCAAGCACAGGAGATGGCTTTGTCGGGTCAGCCTCCGAGCTACGATGCACCCTATCAAATTTCATGTATTCCTATGCTCATACTTCTGCTGTCTCTGGCTGAGGCCCCCACAGCTGGAACAAGTGCTCGTTCTTGCATCATCGCTTGGGCCTGCTCGCAACAGCCCGGCAAATAGGCGCTCGTCAAATGCAGTCAGAAGGAATCTCCAATCAAGCCCTGTCTTCTTCAGCAGCTTCTTAGAAGTTGCTTCTATGCAGGATTGTCGCCTGACGCCAAACAGGATCGGAAAACAGGGCTGGCATTGCTTGCGGCTCGCGAGCTTTGACGCAAGCCGCAAGTCTGGGCCCAACATAGAGCGACCAACAAACCGATCTGATTGGACGAGGAAATCATCACCCGTCACGATGCAAGTTCATACAAGCTCTATGTCTCTCATCAGACCCTGAAGAAAAAGTTTGTAAGAGTCCGAGCTCTCGTCTCCCGTTTGGGCTTTAAGCCTGGGAGCAAAGCCTACGCACTAGGCAATGAGTTCATGCTCATCAAGATACAATGAACCTGCATTTCACGAACATTATGCTGTGAGAGTCGACTGTGTGCGTGAGTCTCTGCATGTTTGTCACTTCTGTCATGTCTGCGTGTTGCGTTGTGTAGCTCTTCGTGCTTCGTGCGCCCAGTGTATTTCCTAGCGCGATCAACACTTGCCTGATCACCCGTCCACCAACCAGTCCGTGGACTTTGTTCCGATGGCGGTCAGCAGTGGCAAACTCCTCACTCGTCCTGTCAGCTTTTTGGCCGCACCACAGCTAGAAAAGTGGACACAGCTGGCATCTCTTGGCAAGCCTCTGTAACCGCTGCAGTTACTTCGGCTCCTCGAAAGTAGGTACCCTTTGAGCACGATGTACATCGCGGCTGGAGCTCCAAGGTCTGAAGACCACTCTTTGACTCGGAACTGATGTGTAGATGAAGCCGGCAAGCACCTGACAGGTTACCGCATGCGCAGACACAGATGCAGATCGTTCAGATTCAGGGCGAGCCCCCACCAGGCTATGGTAGCGATGGGTGCCTTCCGAACTCCATCCAAATCTCCCACCAAGCGCTTCAGCTTGTGCCATCGCTGCAGCTTCGCAGCCCTAGCCGCTTCACAATCTTCAACACATTTGACGAAGTAGTTCCTGTGGAAGGCTGGGGTGTGCAGTGGAGGCAAAAGCTGGTGACGAGCAAAGCAACAAGAATCAAGCTTGACAACGCTACAGGCGCGTGAAGAGCTCCTGTCACGGATGGAAAGCAGGGGTTGAGCTTGCACCAGGTGCACACCATAGACCTGACCGCTGCTGTATCGTCGTGGCCACAGATGCGCATCGATCGGGTCCTTGTTGTGAGCCAGATTTCTGACAACGTGTGAAACAAGTCGAGCGACCAGTGCCAGCTTGCAAGCTCGAATGTTATGGGACCTTCTGATCCAATTCGGCGGAGTGGCCACAATCTTTGGATCGAGCGGGGAGATGTGGTCATCGAAAAACATGCAGTGCTCCGCCGGATCGAGTCTACCCAAGAAGAAAGGCTTCCCGCCTGCTGACGTTGAATTCGCCGCTGCCCACCCTCGCCATGATGCAACATGGGACCAAGCTCAGCAACACGGCCGTTGCAACAAAAGTACAGACAACGATGCATCTAATACGCATGAGTCATACCTGATGTCCAACACCAAGTGACCGGGGTAGTAGTCACGGAGGGCCACTGTGTGACACTGTGATGAGATCTGCATGTAGTGCTTGAAGACTTGGTGCACCCCTTGCGGTGCGGCAACATGACAAACACAAGACAACAATGAAACGAGACAGTGTGTGCGACGAAACGAGGCTTCTGTTAGGCCTTCGAAGATCTGTATGTGCTCTTTGTCCTTCCAGAACTGAGGGCCCTCCTCAAGTTTGCTCGGCTGTTCCACCGTTCCCATGGCCAACGCCTCATAAAGCAGGCACGGATTTTGTTTTGCGGCACCGAATCAAGTCGACAATGGCCCTGCAGAGGTAAACCCAACAACAACACCCTGGCGCAGGGAGTCTGGAATGCACTGTTCAGGGTTTTGACGCAAGCCTGGCCGCTGGCCGGGAACCCAAAACAAAACTTAAGAATCTTGTGGAGCCAGGTCACGATGAAATCACCATCCAGGGGATTTCGGAAGAATGTTCCGCAGCCATTAAGCTTGTCGAACTTCATGCGGTAGTCCGGCTGTCCATCCTGGTGAATACAAGACTCATGATCATCTCGACTTAATAAAGGGGGCAAAAACACACAGAAGTCGTGCAGTGCTGACTGGCTGCCGATCCATCCAGGATGACTAAGTCTTCCTTCTGAAACAAGGGATGCCATCCCTGACAGAGTGCTTCCAGCTCCTCAAACACCAGTGCACTTGCTACCCACAAGGCATTCTGAAAGCCGCGATGTTGGAAACATCTCCGTCACATTTGGTGAGTGCAACTTGAAATAACGGGCTTATCGAGGACAACCTGTCCTTGCGCAGTTGAGGCAGATCTTTGCCGAAGGTGCGAAATATCAGGGTAAAGCTTCTGCCCCTTCGCTTGAGCTCTCCTCAACATGCGCAGTGCAACACAAAAGCACCTACTAGCTTTTCTCTTACACCGTTGAGCCCAAACTACACAAATAGATTGAATAGTGCAGCCGCCACTCGAAGCAAATGCAGGAATGAAGGAAGAAGCTGCACCGAGTCCCCACCCAAACCTGCATCTTTCGCCGCCTGTGTGCCCCGAACAGCTTCAGGCAGAAGGAGCTTCTCCTGCATGCTGGCCAGGTCTTTCCGGAAGGCCTGACGGATGAAACTGGTCACTCTTTGGGCTGCGGCTTGGGCTTTCGGGGTTTTAATGTCCGCTGCAAGGTGAATAAAATCGCGCAGTACCAAAGCAGGCGAGTCTGATTGCATTTTGCAGCTCACATGTATGCAGGAACAAGCGAGTGAGTGGAGCGAGTGAGGAAGGCAGGATCGGCGAAGCAAGGTTCAGCTGGGTGAGTGAAACCCAAGAGGAGCTGCAGGAGGACGCAACCACTGGCTTCAGCTCTTAAAGAGCGAGCGCGGACGCCGACTGCAAAGACGAGGAACATCTTTGCAGTCGGTCACGCACCGTTGGTGAACGAGTGCAGTGTATCAGAAGGAGAATGAGACATTGAAGATCATTGAAGCAAGCATGCGGAAATGCTCGGAAATTAGTAAGCAAAGTGAAGGGATGGGAGTATCCTAGCGCCACGGGCAAGTCCGCGAGTGGCCTCGGTTCTTCAGGGCGTAGAAAGGATGCAAAGAGGTAGCAAATGAGCGAGTGTGTGTAGGGAAGTGGACCAAGTGAAGAAGTACAAGTGGCGAATAACTGAATGATTGCATACATTCCGTGTATGGACTTGGCGAGGGAATGATTGAACATGCGATTGCATGAGCAGAGCGTGTAAGTCAACGCGTGAGCAGAGCGAGTGAGGGGGTGAGCCAGTGGCGGGCGAGGTGAAAGTCTTATAACATACCCCAACTGTCCCCAACTGCCGAATCACCACCATAAGGCTTGTTTTGCCGTTCCACAGGACACGGAAATGGCAACACATGTCCTTTCATTCAAAGACCAGAGCCTCTCCGGGCATGCCGGAATGCGCGAAGGACCACAGGGCTTGCCTGCGACTAGCTTTTACTGTCTCGTTCGCAGCTCGAAGATCAGCCTTGCTCGCGAAGCCAGCCGGGTCTGGAAACGGATTCTGCAAAACGACAAACTCGGAGTAGGTGTGAAGGTTAGCCTCAGGTTGCGTCGGAGACAGCTCCGGTGCTTTCAGCGTCCAGCGACTTGGCCACCCGTTGTCGTCGTAGTCAATTGTGCCCCATGCGGAGTTCGAGAGGACCATGGATATCAGCCCTTCGGAATCTGCGCCAGTCGCTGAATCCAGCATCACTACCGTGTTGTTGACATCGAAATTTAAAACCAAGTGCGGCTGTTGATTCATAGACCCTGGCGTGTGATTTCGTGCAGCATGCAGCACTTCCAGGAAAGTGTGATAATCAATTCCGCCCTCTCCGTCAGGATCCAGGTCGCGGATGATCTGGCCAGCCTCGGAATGCGTCACCTCGGATTTGGGCAGCGGCAGTAAGTAGCTTCTGGCACACCTCGCCTCAAGCGGAAGGCCGAGTCACACTCAGTGATCTGTCCGTTTTGGATTCAAACTCGCTCATAAGCATCAATGCATCCATCATCTCTTGGGCGCTAATATGACCGCTTCCATCTCTGTCAAGAAAAGTGAACAGCGATCGTGCCGCATCTTCGCTGTCGTCGTGCGGGACGTTCCAGCTAAGCAGCCACTTTTGGAAATCGTTCCAGCAAATTTCGCTGTCCCCATTTTGGTCGATTTCCTCAAAGATGTGAGCCTCATGGGCCAGGGAAGCTCTTAAAACGGATACCTCACTGTCTTGAAGACGAGCAGCGACCACGTCCTCGATGTGAGTGTTCGCTGAGCCGGGAAGGCTCATCTCGAAGGCTTCCAAGGCCTCCACGCCAACACTCGCCCCTTTTGGGAAAAATCCTAGGAAAAAGCCCGAGACCCCCATGATCCCCATATGCCTCCTTCAGTTGAGCCTTGGTAAGTCCCCCATCATTCGCGCCACCAAGGGTCTCAAAGACACGCCGGAAGTAGCTGCAGAGGAAGGGCTCTTCGACCTTTGGGGCTTCTTCACTTTCACAGAACTAGGGCCAGCTCCGCAAAAAACTCCGGCAACAACGCTTGCCAGAAGCTGCAGGTCAAGGCACCTGCTTGGACCTGGGTTACCATGCACCATCGCATGGAAACGTGATAAAAAAAAACACCAGGCTTACACTGGCTTTGGCAATCTACGCTGCCATACGGTACCTGTCTGGCCAAGGTGCAATCGCTTTCTGGGTGGAGGAACAATGGCGTCCTCGAAGCAACAGTACTTGATGGTGCAATCAGCAGCCGCACTTCAGAACTGTCAAGAGAGGCCAGTGAGGCGCTGTTCTGCTGTTGCGACATGCTTTGCTGCACATGTGGGCCCGCAGTTCTACGTTGCCGGAGTGTTTGCATGTGAACACGAATAGCGTGGAGGTTCTGGCCGCATCCACGAACGGTCGGGCCTGCTCCTGAAACATGAACTGGAAGAACTCTTGATAGCAAACTTTGTCATATCCAGTGTTTACCAGTGCCAGCATCGTGTCTGCCTCATCCTGCCAGGACCAAGCAGCCCGCGGTCAGCGATGAGGTAACGAGGCAGCAAAAGAGCAAAACTCCAAATTCCGTCAGTCCTCTGGGACGCCTACTTCCGCCAAGACTTGGCGAATGAAGCTCTTGCCTCGTAGCTGCCACAACATGAACCCCGCCAAAACCATGCAAAACAGAAGCCGCTCGCGGTTTGTTCCGTGTAAGCGTGTCAAAGTGCGATGTGTTGCTGCCGCCCTCTCGGCTTCTCCAAGAACGCTTTGGTTTCATTTGAACTTGGTCCTGCACCTCTTCCGAGTTATCGGCGCTGTGCGACATTTCCGTGTGGTGCGAGCTCTTTCGCCGAGCAGTGGTGCTTCTTGGAATCATCTTGTGCAGATCATGACGTTTACGGGAGCAGCCCCAACTTTCTGAGCCCGCGGTGCCGGTTGCATGGGCCACAGTCACACTCTGCACATTGCCATGTGCCGCGGAGAATAAGTCATCCGCTTTGGAGGCCTGAGCCGGAGCGCTCCTTGGGTCATCATTGCTTGTGGGAGCTTGGCAGACACATGGCCCTTGGTTGAAATCTGCAAGGAATGTGGTCCGATGCTCCACGGCTTTGGGAATGGACAATGCCAACACGCAGCCAATCGTGCCCGCTGTGCACCAGGCAGCATTCTAGCCCCTTCTGGGAAGCATTTCTTCGGGCTATCGAATATTATCTAACTTTTTGTCAACTTGCCTTGCAAAAGGTGTTGAATGCGAATGGCACCTGGAGTGCCGATTGACGTTCCAGGAAGTCGTTTCTAGATTCCAGCCGATCTTCCAAGATTTCTCCTTGCAAGGACATTGTCTTCGTTCCATCAATTATCAAGGAAGTGGCCCACGGTGTACCCGTGGTGCCGCTTTTTCGGAGCTTCTGCCCTGGATTTGAGGCCACTGCCGGCAGTCTCCATAGGTGCAAGGTTTGGACTGTGCATGCCTCAAATCGGCGATTGGATGATGCGATCTTCGATTCCCTCCGAACTACGACTGCTCATGATTGGAATGTGGCACGACCTCTAAGAAAGGGCCTAGATTGCCTAGGAAAGTCAATGCACGGCACACCTCTGTATCTGTTTTGGGAGGGGTGGTTTGTGCGTCTTCGTGTTGATTCGCGTGCTCCTGCCTCAATGGCCACTCCGCGGAAGAGACTATCTTCAGTGCAATCGGGCAACCCACCACAGTCTCCCCCTCTGGTAGCACGCCCTGAAATATCTCCAACACGAGCTGGTGACAGTCGGAAAGGGACTGTTCTGGAATCGGCCGCATTGGAGCACAGGGCGTGGATTTGTTCTAAAGCTGGTCACAGCGACATGTGGATGTACCGTGGCACCTTGTCTAGAAACTGTCTAATTGAGCTCGTACTGTTCCGGTGTCGTCACCCTTCTGGCCTGATGCTGCTTGAACCAAACGATTAGTAAGCGGATGCGGTGTTTTGTGGGTCCGGACGCAAGAGCTGCTCCTAAGAACATCCTCCTTGCCTTGCAAAATTCCTCGAACTCTGCTTTTTCTCTTGCCAAGTCCTGGGCACACGCCCCAAGGCTGGTGGATGCGAGCCACTGAAGGTCCGAGGCCCTTGCTGCTGGCGATTTTGCAGGAGCCACGGCAGGTTTTACCACCGGAGGCCTGTGTGGGAAGAAACGACTCGCACCATCTGCGCGCTTGTTGCATAGCTTTCTGTCCTGCTCCCAGTGTTGTTTCTATGCTGTGTGTCTCAGGCACGTGCCGCAAGGCCAGTGTTTTGACTCTCGCCTGCAGTTTCGAGAGAATGGGTTTGTTGCTTCTGCAGCTTCTGCCAGACATCGCAACTCCAGAAATTGATCTTGCGTAGCAGCATGCCGCCTCAGCAGCATCTCTACTCCGCCTTAGTCCAGTCGTGACAAACCGACACTAGTCTGTGAGGCACAACAAGATATGCGAGGAACAGCAACCAGACTGCAGCTTTGCCGAGGACACTGCGATGCCTGCTCGCCACTCACGCCTTCTCGGGTGAATCAGGAGTCTTGCTCGCAGTGCTATTCGTTTCTAGAGTCAGACTGGACAAGCTGAAAAGGAGTTGAACTCACAGACGAATTGAGCAGCTCCCATGCTGCCCTCTCATTTCTGCCTACTTCTGCCGTCGCACCGCTGGCACCTACATGTACTTACTACGAGAACAACAGGTTTTGGCTTCCCGCCTGGCTAGAACGAACCTACGATGCAGGGTCAATCTGTAGCTGACTCTTTCACTATCACAAAAAGGCAGCTCGACTGCACAACGCTGCTCTGGAGAAAGCAGCGATGTCTCCCTTTCATTTACGACAGGTCGGCCATTACGGCCGTCAGCGCCCCCACACTCACAAAAGGGACATTACGTGCCCTGCTGTTGTGCCTCTCACACTTCACTTTCTGTCGCACGAACTCAAAGACATGTTTTCGTAAGATCTGCATCTCACTCTGACGATCTGGATATAATATGGTCTCCGCAAAACAACGAACACCGAGATATCTCGAAGTCTCCAGCAGCTTTGACTCATGCAGACAAGATTTTGATCGCAACAGCCGACTGCCAACTGCCACCCGAATCACGCAGACAAAACATTGGTCTTTGGTGCTCAGAAGTTTGCAGCACATGCAGGCTCCCCGGCACACTATATCACTGTACCAAATTCTCGAATACCACATTGACGAGCAAATTAATTCAGGAATTCTGGATTCAAGGCTCTGGACCAACCAATAATCACACGGCTTCCAGAGCATGCAGTCATGCAGAATGTCGAGACACCCAGGTAACAACGTTAAGCTTATACTTATAGGGTCTTCTTTCGGGCACAGCTTCTACATGGATGTCTGCATGAGTCGCATCTACTAGTTGATCTCTTTGCGTCCAAGGGACGGCGTCGGTCCTTCCTCGCAAAATCGCCACTTCCGGTGACATAGAATGCAAGCTCAGAGGAATAGACATGGCGTGTGACGACCTGCGCGCCTATTGCCGGCAGGGTGCTCTTTCTTTTGTCTGCGACTCTTTGAACGAGATCTCGACCTGCCACAGGTCGTTAACGCAATGCTATCAAGTTACAGGAAGATGTCTGTTTATTTGCATGGCCTACTGTAGTCCGAGTCGGACGAGGGATCTCGGCCTGGCAGACAAATTCGCAGCCGGGACTTGCGAAACAGAAACTCCGCAATACATGAGATGTGCATCTTCCGGCATGCTGTCGCACTTGCTTCATGCTTGAACGACTTTTAGGCCCTCGTGCCAACGCCGTGCGGTGGTGCGACCACCGGCGCCTTTGAGCTGGGCTAAGTTATCCCGCACCTTCGGTGCGAGATGTAATCGTTAAAGGTTTGCGCAAAGTACATTTGCATCCAATGCGCCAGGACGAAAACCCTGCCAGTCTGAACTGGCAGCAAAATTGAATTTGAGGCATTGTGTCGGGCTGCGACTCGTCCACAGACCGTTCCGTGTGCTCACTGGCACACACTTGCGTACTTGACGCAAATCTCTGCCGTGGCAACACGCCCACACATGGTGTGCCACAATGCACAGAGGTTCTCCTTCACACTGGCTAAGCGTTGGTTCTCAAGCTCCCTCTGAGCCAAAGTGAGGGATCCAGCTGAAGTTCCCAAGGCATCCACCCGTGTTAATCCGAAAGTCGTACTCTGAAGCCCGACCTCTTGGTTGTTGGTCAAGGTGCTGGCTGCCTGCCCGAACACCCAGGCGGCGTTGGGGTGCGAGACCGAAGGCACAGCCTGGCTCTTCGAGCCCAAGACCGGTGCGGTTTCAGCTTCTTGAGGCGCAGCAGATTCAGATTTCAAGGTTTCAGCTTTCACGGGGACCTCTGGCTCGAGTACACGGTCTGCGCTGGAAGTGGCGGCTTCGCCATCGACGGGTGTGGCCGCCTCCACGCCGTCTGCCTCTGATTTCGGCTCCGTCGCATCTTGCTCTGGTGCCTCTGGTGCCTCTGCCTCAGCCTCCGGCGCCTCTGCTGGCTCCGTGGCATCTCGCTCTGGTGCCGGTGCTGCCCCAGCCTCTGTCGCATCTGGTACCTCTGCCTCAGCCTCTGGCGCCTCCACTGCAGGTGAGACACTTTGTGCAGGCTCCGTCGCATCTTGCTCTGGTGCTTCTGCTGCCCCAGCCTTCGTCGCATCTTGCTCCGGCGCATCTGGTACCTCTGCCTCAGCCTCCGGTGCTTCTGCTGCGGGTGAGACACTTTGCATTGGCTCTGTCGCATCTCGCTCTGGTGCCTCTGCTGCCTCTGCCTCAGCCTCCGGCGCTTCTGCTTCGGGTGAGACGCTTTGCAGTGCCGGCTCTGCTGCCTCTGCCTCCGTCGCATCTTGCTCTGCTACCTCTGCTTCAGCTTTCGCCGCATCTGCTTCGGGAGAGACGCTTTGTACTGGCTCCGTCGCATCTTGCTCTGGTGCCGCTGCCTCAGCTCCCTCTGCCGCAGCGCTCTGTGCTGGCTCGGCCGCATCTGGCACTGTTGCCTCTGCTTCCTCAGCCTCTGGCACCTCTTTGGGAGAGGCACTTTGAATTGGCTCCTCTGGCTCTGTGACGTCTTGCTCTGAAGACTCTGCTGCCTCTGCCTCCTCGGCCGCCTCTGCCTCCTCCGCCGCCTGTGCAATTGGACCGGTCACATCTTCAGAAGCTGCCACCTCAACAGGTTCTGGCTCCGCGTCGGTTCCAAAGCCACCCACACCAGACTGGCTGACGCCATTATCCAAAGCATCCGCGCTGTGCTTTCTGGTGGGCTCCACAGGCTCGGCCGCAGGCTCGGCCGCAGGCTCCTCTGGTTGGGAAGCCTCGACCTCTCCGTTCGCTGGACCTTGGCTCGGGTCTGCCAGCTGAGAGATGCCTGGCTCCGCCTGGCCCACGGCTCGGGACTCGACTAGCTCTGGTTTGAGCGACGTGCCAGCCAGGCAGGAACCCTTGTATCGCAGGCAGGCATCAACCTTCAAGTCGGTGCGGCACTCCTCCAACAAGTCCCTGCACGCTTTCCTGCTGGCCGCTGCCTGCAAACTCTCCTGGGAATGCGAAGAGCGTGATGACTGTGAGGTCGCCTGGTGTTTCTGGACTGCCTGGGAAGTCTTCACAAGAACCTCCTTAGAGATCGAAGCTTTCTTTGCTTTCCTTCTTTCTGGGACGCCTTGCTTGACCTCTTCGACCGACTCTGGTGGGCTTTCGCTCTTCTTCTTGGCCTTCTTCGTTTTAGTCGCTTTCTTGGCATGTGCCGTGGAAGCGATTTTCTTCGTTGCCTTTACGGCGAGTGCTTTGGAATTCCTGACTTTGGGTTTCGTGGCACCGAGGTGGGCAAGTTGAGCGGGCTCTGCCAAGGAGGCAGGCATGGAATGGAGTGTGGGAACTGTCGTCCTTTGACTGCTAGCAAGGTGGCGTTCCGTAGCGACAATCTTTGCTGTCGTTGCTGGTTTCACGGCCTTCACGGTCAGAGCTGGTGGGCTCCACTTGTCGTCTGCTGAGCTGAAGTCAGAGCCGTGGAGGTGGCTGTGAGCTCCCGACGCATCAGGCAGTGGGTTGATCAGCTGTAGCAGATTCGTCACGTCCGCATCGGAAGACTCCGTGTCGCCGGCCACCCCAGCGGCCATGCACAGCATGAAGACGACCTGGCGCATGGTCTCCAAGTAGATCGTGCGCCCGTGGGCAAGGCGGTGCGGTTTGTATGATACGCTATCAGCTTGAACCTGTAAAACACTACAATCACCACAAAATCACAAGGTCTACCAGAGGCTCTCCTTGCGAGATTTTGCGACTGCAGCGGAGTCTTGGGTTCACACGCTTTCGACTCTTATCCCTTTCCTTCCTGAGATGCAGAGACGGACAATGGTTTCCAATCCCTCGTGATATCTTGGCTCGCGGCTTGTCTTTTCGTCGACTTTCTGAGGCTTGGTCCTGGCTATGCAGACAGCTGCGGTACAAACGCACAAGCACTCTGCCATAGATGCCAGCACGTGTGCCCCTTCGGCTGCCCGTTCTCCTTCGTTTTCTCCTCACAGCACGCCAGACAAAGTACGCAGCAGCTACTTTGCCCTTGTAGTACATTTACATGAGCTGAAGATGAGGCAGCACGCGTTGCTGGGGTCCTTCTCTTTTGACCTGTCCTTGTCCTTCTCACGCGGCTTTTCCTTTATTCTGTCCTTCTCCTTCTCCTTGTCCTTATCCTTTAGGCCCTCCTTTGCCTTATCCTTTTCTCGTTTCTTTTCGTCCCCATCTTTGCCATCCTTGCCATTTACCGGGGCATTGCTCTTCGGCTTTTCAGCCTTACCCTTCTTGGCATCTTTGTCTTTATCCTTCTGAGGGACAGTGTGAAGTCACGCATCGAACAACACCCTCCCGCTGCCTTGCTCTTTGAAGCTTTTGCTGCTATCTGACTTGAATCTTTGGCCTCTGCCGGTGATAACCAAAGCCAAGCAGGTGCAGCTCCGGTGGGCAATGCAGACGCACCAAGCAAACGGGACCCAACAAGAGCAGCTTTTCCTTAGAGATGGCATGCATCAAACACGCCGGCCTCAAATTTAAACAATCCTTTCCCGTGTGGCGTGTGTGGACAGCTCGCCCTTTGGCATGTGACCAAAGAGAGCTGATGCAGCAGCGCTGCATCGGAGCATCGACAGTCCGTGCGAAACATTGCCGAGCAGTCTGGCGCAAGGGGCGCTTCTTGTGGTGAAACTTGTGCCGGCAGTGGGAAGAAACCTTCGATCACCGGCGTCCATCCGCCAAGAATGAAAAGACGTGGTCCACAAAGAAGCGGAGAAAGCCCTGGCAGCATCAGTCAAGGCGACTGGTCGAGTTTCGCAACACCCACTCGAGTGGTTGGTGTGCCTGAGGCAGCTTCGCCAAGGGACAGTGGCAGGCCTGAGTTTGTGGCGTTGGCCTCACCCCTGAGAGTCACTTGTGGTGGACTGAGCTCGCAGCATCTTCCTTGCAAATTGCAATGCCTGCAGCTCTCTTGCGTGTCGCAAGCGAGTTTACGGCAATGCGTTGCCAGCTCGGCCATATGCGTCCATCCGCAGCCCAGTCACAAAGCAGGCGACGCTTTGCCCAGTCACTGCGGCGGACTCGTAACGTAGCCCGCGCTCCAAGGTTCACAGATCTTGCCCGGGTTTTGAAGACAATCCTTGGCACCAACCACCCACAGCTACAAAAACGAAGGGCAGAAGTCGCACAAACCTGCCTCGTCGGCTCGGGTGCCGACTGCACCTGCGAACATCAATCGCTTCAGCACTTTGGGACGCTTGCTTACTCTATCTGGTGAGTACTGGCAACCAAATCGCTGACATCTGCAATGTCGGGTGCCCAAGCTGGTACCGTCCTAACTGGCAGAGACACCACTTCGTGGAGCTGCCGCCGTGATCCAGTAGCGCTGTACACAACTGAACTGCCACGAATTGGGGCACAAAGCCCTGTCGGAAAAACAAAATAAATTGTGTGAAGCTGTCGGTCATCTCCGAACCCGAAACTTCGGAAGGATCCTAAAATCTCAACGATCATTCACAGATGCAGCTCACGTATGCTCACATGTTCAAACGTGGTCGTCGAGCCCCTGAAGACCCCCTCATCCACTCACGCAGCCTGGCGGGCGAAATGGGGCGGTCATGTAAAGCCTGTGTTCGCCACGACTGCACTCTCGCCTGCTGGATATGCCACCGAACGGCGTGCAACTGCAGGGCGACAGACCAACGCAGACGCACACGGTCAACTGCAGGACAGCTGACACATACTGAAAAGGTGAAGGTCTGCCGCATGCGCTCGCACGAGCCTTTTGATGCTGGATGTCTCGTCCGATTGGGGGTCTCGGCCTAGCGACCAGCCACATGCTCGAAGGCTTCAAGAGTGTTGCATGCTTCGTCTCTGAGACATCTTGGAGTTTATGCCGACGCGATGCACATAAAGTCATCGTATTCGTGTGGCAAGACATACTCCGCGATAATCGAAACGCCAATCTCCTGAGAGGCATGCGCATAGTTCTATAGGGACTGCGAGGCACGCACTCTACAGAAGTCTTTTCCAAGCAATGCCTGGATCTCCACCACAACCCGCCGACCTGCCAGATCGTCGAGACATGCTAGCAATGCAGCAGAAGAGCACCATCAAGCCGCCTTTGGCGCTGGCTGCTTGCTCGGCTGATACAACGACAGGGTCCCCGTACTTGACGCCTGGCGTAAAGCGGAGGCGGGGCCCCGAGGTGCAGGCTAGCCACAGGTGCTCATCGCACTCGGTGCCCTGCCGTGAAATGCCATTGTCGCACGCCACAACCCACCGGGCTCGCTGCCTGTCCCGTGCAACACATATCATATCGCTTCGACGAACCACACAAAAACTACTTGTGCCGGCCTGGTGGTGGTTCGATTGCGGCTCGCGCTGCAAACGGTCCGCTCGTGGTGATCTTGGCCGGCTCCGTGTAGAGACCCATAGCTTTCAACATAGCGTTTGGATCCTCCTTCAGTGGCATTCGAACTGGAGGGGCTTACCTCACTTGACGCGCAGTCGCGATCTCGGTTCTGACTTGTCGCTTGGTACAGTACTGGCACTGGAGAAGTTTTGGTGCCTCTCAAGATAGCTAAAGTCCTCCGAACGCTTTGTTTGAGCTGCTGTTCTCAAGCACAAGGAGAGGCTCTAGCCAGGGGTCACGGGGTCATGCTAGGTACGCCTGGTGCACAAACCCAGCTACTTTGGCTGAGCCAACCAGCCCCAACAAGTTTCCCAGCCTCCTCCGGATCCGGCACACGCAGTTGCCACCACTCGTTTGGATCGAGCTTCTCCAAATCCGTGATATACAGCTCTTGCACCCTGCTGCTGAGCCATCCATGTGTCAGTGCCTTTTCGTCCACTATTTCAGAGGGGTGGTGTGGTTTCGGAAAGTCCACAGCCATTGTCAGCTCCCTTGCTCTATTGGTATCTTGCGGGCCACCAATGCCCATCATATACAGCTGCGAAAGCTCCACCACTGCCGGAATGTATCCACGGTGGCAGGCTGCCTCCATGTGAGCGCGCGCCTTCTCCAAATTCTTCGGCAGGTTCATTGTCTCGTGGGCATATGCCATGCCCAGCTCATAGGCAGCAAGTGCATCTCCAGCTCTGTCGGCTTTCTGCAGAAGCTCCACGGCTTTTTCCAAATCCACCTCCCCTCCGAGGCCTGCACGGCACATCAAAGCCAACTCTAAAGTGGCCATCTGCTTGCCTTGAACATCGGCTTCAGCAAAAAGTTCCCGTGCCTTTACGAGGTCAATGTTGCATCCAGTGCCGCGTTTATAGCAGCGCGCCAGGTAGAGAGTACCAAGAGGCGTACAGCTTTCATGTGCTTTAAGGAAGCATTGGTAAGCTTTAATATCATCTAAAGGCACACCCAGTCCAGATTGGTGCATCACTCCAAGCAAAGTCAAACTGCTTCCGTGCCCGGCATCCAATGCAAGTGCATGATGCAAATTGCTGAGGCACCGCTCTGTCACCACGAATCGGGCCGGTGTGCCTGTGGAGGTCGACCGAATCGCACGGAGGTACTCCACAGCTGCGGCACGACAAAAACTTGCAGCACTGCGATTGTTGCCGGGACTGGTGTCTGCGTAAGAAGGACAATCATCATATCCGGTCATTTCCTTGCAGGCAAACGGTGCAACAACGCACAGGGGCGCAAAACAGCACGTACACACGAGGATCCATATTTGGAGTATATGCAACTAGCAGATAGCAACGAGATGTGCTTAAGCCTAGGCCTAGGTTTTGCGCCAACCGACCTTGAGTTCTTGCAAGCACACTGCATGAGCGTAGCGGCCACACGGAAGCGACTGCACCGGGCACAGTTGGCCTTGCTGGCCTTGCTCCACGTGCGAACGGAGGCAAATCCAGCACTCGGCCATGTCACCGATGAGCTGATGCGCCGTTGTTGTCTCTACCTTGCTTAGCTGTGAAAGACTTCATGAGAACTGCATCCCAGTTCCAGTTGTAGGTGGACTGGCAATACGCTCCAAGATGTACACCATGCCACATCGAACTTGATGGGAGAATGTTGCAACGAAGATCCCTACTCCAGCTTGCAAGCGAGACAAGGCTCCAATGCTGTAGCTGCTGTGCAGCGTTCTTCCACGCTTCAGGCGGATACTCGTGCATGCAGAACTTACACTGCGTAAGTTCGTGAAACATGGGCTTGTTTCTCCTACCGAGACGACCAAGCTCGTACGTATAAGTCACAGTAGCAAGATCATAAAGCGCATTCAAGCGCACGAAAATAAATAAAACCCGTCTACCAAACTAATCACAGGAAGTGCTCATAGCTCACTAACCTTGGCAGGACACACGTCGTGCTTGGCCGTGTAAAGTGGCGCAGTGCAGAGCTTCTGAGAATGGGGCCCCTTGCGCCGCGCGCCACTCGGCCTCGTGCTTGCGGCCGGCTGGCCAAGGATCGCCCTGAGACAGCAAACAGCAAGGAAAGCTAGGAAAGGGGAAAAGCTCTCGCTCTCTAGTGTTGCGGGACGACTGATGCCGCCTCGCACTGAGGCAAGTCCGTCACAAACTTTGTGCCATTTCCTGTTCGCGAGAAGGGCCATCTAAGTGAAGGTGCCGTCATGGCCGACGTGAGTGCTCTTTCTTCCCCAACTGGGGGCCGAGCGCAACATGGCTGTGTCGCTGAGGAACATTGAACCGACGTACCTCAGCCCCAGACAGAATGTCTATGCAGACGTGCCATTGCATGCCATTGCCAATGGCTTCCTACAGGTAATTATTGCAGCCCAGCTGCGGCATCACTAGTGGTGGGGTTATTGCCAATCCGCGCAAGACCTGTGGAATGTACCTCGCTTTCTGGCACCGTGAAAATAGCTCCCCTGCAGCAATGAAGCTGTGCCACTTGCTCCACTCCACTGCGTTCTCGTTCCAATGGCCACTGAAGCCCTGCCCCATGGCCACCGAGAAATAATGATCCTGAGCTCTTGGACCCCTGGTGCCGGGTGAAGCAAGTATTTCATGCGCAGGTGCACGACTGAAATGGCGGGCCGGGCAGCCAAAGGGGCCAGTCTGGTCTCCACATTGGCCTCTACCAGAGCTCGAGCTGCATCCAACTTGAAGATGTACCTCTGCACATTATGAGCAAGGGCTGAGCGGTTTGCTCCCCGTGTGCTGTCCAAGCTGCCCCACTGTCCATAGAGTGTATCCTCACAAGACAAGGGCTGTGGAACAGCCCTGCGGCGTCATGAAATCCAGGGATCACACCGGGCTGTGCCAAGTGCGTGCTGATGCGGGAGATGTCAGGCTCTGTCGGACTGCGCCCCAGGTACCTAAGACTGCAACGAATATGCTCACTCTAACTGGCAGCGTTGCGTTTGTGCGAAGCACATCACAAGTCCAGAAGCTCATTCTGCCCAGTGCCTCCTAGAAGCATGAGGTTCCAATCATGGCTTCGCGCTTCTTCCAAATAGTTGCCAAGTCTTTCCCTGAAATTCTCTTGCCTCGACAAATCCGGGATCAGCTGCAGAAGATGAGCGGCTTGTCGTTGCACACTGCGACCAATGCTGCAATGGCACAAGTCGAAGTCATCTTCTAGAATCAAAGCTGATGGAATGCTGTGCTCGACCTCACTTAGCTCAACATCGGAAACCTGCTCAACAACACTCACTGGCTCGAACGGTTCGAGATGTGATCCATCTCCGACCAGCGGCCATGTAGTGCCAGATTGTGAAGTGGCTCATGAAGCAGCCAAGCTGGCCGGTGGTGAGGTGTGGCAGCGTGTGCCTCGCTGACAGCACTGACCCACTCAGTGCAGAACAAAGTTTGACCCGTGACGTATTGTCACAAACCTGGTTGCCAAAGAGATGCTTATGCCCGCAATAGTTGGGCAGCGTGCTTGCACCAAGCCTTATTTGCAGGTAGTCCCATTAGCCGGAGCGCAATGCTGAAAGCTCTGGCCCGGAACCCGCCAAGACTGTGAATCCGGATGGGATCTCTACTGCTCATCGTGGCATCATCCTACGGTCCTACAGCATCATACCGTTGATCTTAACAAAGTTTATGTGCATGGGATGGGTCTTGGTGACCATCGCACATGAAATTCTCCATGCACTGGCAGGTGTCGAATGTGATAAGAACCGAAGCTTCTGCCAAGTAACTTGGCGATCTCTTCCTGAGCACGCGCTGCGAATGCTTGAGTTGCTGTCTGTTCTGTTCTGAAAATCACTACTACGAGCTGCAGCTTCTTTGGACCTAAGCCGTCGAAGCACAGGTCCCGAAATCAAACGAGACCCCTGGCGGCATGGTGGTGCTGGCCTGGGAAGTGAAGGCATCACCGTCAATGGCGTCCACAATCTTTGCATTCAATCCTTCTGCATGGAGCTGCGCCAAGACCTGGAACGGAGCAACTAGCCCCGGAAGCATTCCGAACTCCTGCCTGCTGAAGCCACAGAGAACTGGCACGTTTTCAACAGGTTTGCTAAAGACAATCTTGCACCGAAACGCCTGCCACGTCAAGGTGCTTGAAAGCAAAATGCCGGCCAGCTTGTTGCAGGGGCTGGCATCGAGGATCGTAGTTGTCGCTCTTGGCTGCTGTTGTCAAGCTGTGTAACACTACAGTGTGCCGGGCTGTTGGGCCCAGAAGTGGCCCAGAACATCAGCCGATGAGCCAATCAGCCCTTTTGAAACCGGACTTGATGACTGCCAGCATTGCCTGTTCTGCCATTCTTCAGCCGAGGCCCGGAAACGTTAGCACACAAGCACTCCATCCCCTGGGATAAGCACTCCACGTAAAGACCACCGAATGTTGAAGCCAAACCTCCCTGACCACATGTGGCAGCTCCAACAGCACACAATCCTGAACGTCGGGATCTACCCTTTTTTTGAGCAGGGACTGCAATGCACTAAGCCCTGAATCCCTTCATCCGACTGCAATGCACTAAGCCCTGAATCCCGAACCCCTAAACCCCTAGACCCTGAACCCTAAGATCGACCAGCCGATCACCTGCGCAGTTTGGAAACCCACGTTGCGAGCGCCATGTAACACCAAACATGCCAACATGTGCACAACCCTGGTCGGTGAACTTGCATGTCTTGGGCGTGCAGGAGTGGCTGTCATTGTTAGCCTTCCACCCATAAGAGAAATCCAATGCAGACAAGTCGCATGCTTCAGTTTCGCCGGTCGGCGAGGCCTTCGCTGTCTGTGCTTTGAACACTCGTGACAGTGAGTGTTCTATCTTCGTGCCCAGCAAGCAGCAGGTTGATGATGAAAATGTTGTCCCCGGGGTCCCCCAGTGCTTCAGCATCGGCCGTGTCGCAGAATCGCTGCGGTTTTGAACTGAAACTTACCTGGCACCCAGCAACAGGCCGTGCAGCCCCAAGGCAACTTCAGCTTTAGAAGGCCATGCACAACCGCGGCTGTTGTCAGGCACCTCGTGTATATGCTGTTGTTCCAGCTGTGGCCAATGCTGTAGGCGCGTCTTGGACACGCGCCACACGTCATCGTGCTCCTGCGCAGGGCAAGACTAGCAAGTCCACAATTTGTGTCTTTCCAACCTCGCAGACGAGCGAGCAAGCAGGCAGTCGCAAGCTTGCCAGATTACGCCAACAGTCCTCTTGCGCAATTGTGCTGTCGGTGCTGTATGACCTGGAAAAAGGTGCAGCTTGACAGTGTCGGTCTTGATTGAGAACCTGAAGAATCTGCGCTCGTTCCATCCAAGGGCTGAGCTTTGCATTCACCCAGTCATAGTTCTGTACCTCCGACTACTGGATGCAAGTTTGGTCCATGTGAACACCATGGCTGCAGGTGGGCACAGTGTAGTCGACGGTTCTGTCCTCGGTGCACGGGTCAACAGCGCCTTCTTGGCGTCCTCTTGGGTCACGGCCAGATGCTGCTAGGTATCGTGGTAAGATTTGTGTAGTCGAACTGTTTCCTGACGGCCGTGATCGGTACGGACGGACACGGAAAGGCGGAGCATTGCTTTGCAGCATTGCGCTGTGCTCCTCATCTAAAGGCATGGGCTCCTGCAAGGAACTGGCGACAGCCCGAAGTCTGCCTGCCGAGACTCACATCTTTCACTTGGCTGCAACCTGCCTGTGCGGGGTTGGCAGGTTAGCAGCGTTGGCAGCCTCTCCAGTGCGAAATCCACGGGCGCTTCCACGAGCAAAGCACGAAGGAGGATCCCCATGATCCCAAGCCTTGCAATGCGATGAAATGCGATGCAACGAAAACCATCCCAGTCTCTGTTCCACTGTCCACCAGCTTCTGCCAGGTGTCTGAAACGGCCAGCAGCGGCACTGAGGAGTGCAAGTCCCAGCCATTTTGGCCTGGTCTCCCCATGTGCCGAACTTGTTCAGTGGCGCTGCCGTGCGCCTGCCTCAAACTCTTTCTGCCCACGCCGCCGACCTTCCGCGTACTAAGCACGAAGCAGAGATGCTGCAAGCTCGTTGTTGGGACCTGCTTCACCAGCAAGTTGTGTCGTGGCGGCATGGCAGGATGTGGCCTGTAAAGCCTCTGATGCCCTCTCGCTGGCAAATTACTGGGCTGCACTAGCTGAACTCTTTTGGGATACGGTTGGATACCAGGTTATGTAGTCCCTCTCCTGCTCGGTCTTGCTAGGAGCCTCGTGCCCTCTTGGTGGGCTTGAGAGTCATGTCTAGTCATGTCACTACGGCCTATGGCCTTGGGCCAGGGTAGCGAAAAGCCACAGCTCCGCGGGTGCATCGTGGCTGGAGCAGCAGCAAAGCTTCGGCGGGACGCCTCCTGTCGCTCGCGCTTGAACTCTTGAAGAGCCAATGCTTCCTGGGAAGACGCTTCTTAATTATATTCCACTACTAGTACCTGTTGTCCTCATGGTTGACGACTTCTGGAGTGAGTGATGCTGGACTCACGACCCCCACATTCTACACTCTGAGCTGTGCACCACAAGCTTCATCTCAAACATTCTAAAGCCTCTAAGCGACTCTACTCACGTGCTGCCCCGAATTCCAAAGACTTCACGCTCTCGCAACTAGGACACTGCCAGACGAGGTCTCTCGGGTCAGATCGGAACTACAGGATAAGCCGGAATGCCAGCAAGAGCATGCAACTACCAACATGGCTGGCCTCTGCTGCCTCGAGCTTAGACGGCCCAATCTCCGAAGCCGCAGATCTTTCTCCTGCTTCCAGTCTTCCGCGATTCTACTAAATATCACTTCTTCAGAAAACTTTGCCACGGACACAGACCAAGGTCTCAAACTTCCGTGGGCAAGTGTGTTTCGGAATCCGTTCACCAGGATATGTCTGTTTCGGTTTAGAGCTGTGGACCGTACCCTCAAGTCTTGGGGGAATGGAGGGCTCCTTGGCTTTACCACACCACACCCTTTTCCTGGATCGCAAGTCGGCCTTCACTAAGCCAGCCCCCAGCAGCGAACAATTCCTGCCTCACTTCATGCGGCAGACTTTGCTGACCGAGCAGTGAAAGCAAGCCGTTGCAATTGCTTGTGGGCTTTGGGGTGCTGGAACTGCATATGATATGCATCCAGCCTTTCAACCAGCAGTGGAATCACGTACTGGCGCCAGATGTCACAGACAGGGCGGCCACGATGCTTTGCGATGGAGTAGCCTATGAAGATGAGATCCACGGCATGGCGACGTGTGGCACAAGGAAACAAGCTGTGTGTGGATACCGACCAAGGCTTGGAGGCTCGAACTACTAGCTGAGACGACTCAGAGAAAGAGGAAGTGTCTTCTGCAAGTTCCAGAGGTGATATGCAGCACCTGGTCGGATCCCGACGGCGTCTGTGAAGTGAGGCGCCGGCTCTTAGTAAGGACGTCACTCTGGCGACGGTCAACAGGCTTGCATGATGCAAGGGGCTACACCAATCTTTGGTCCGCGCAAGCCATTCCACAATCTGATGATGAGCAGCTGCAGCCTCAAATGCGAAATAACCACCAGCCACATCGCGCAAGTGGTTTCGTCGGGCCCCGTGCGAGGACAGAAGCTGGACGACATGCAAGTGGCCGTTCTCGCAAGCGTATGCCATTGGTGTTGCGCCCGACTGGTCTACTTCATCCACACTGAAGCAACCCAACTCAAGCAGCAAGGAGACACAGCCAGCATGGCCATGCATAGCTGCAGCATGCATAGGGCTTCTTTCGACAGGCTGAAATCTGAAGCTTGACCGGTCTGTGTTCATGTGCATCAGAAACCACACCACCTGGGCTTCGCATCCATGGGCACAAGCCTCCGGCAATCCAAGATGCTCAGAGCAAACAGCTGCAGCCATAGCTCTGTGCTGGTACTGACTTCTGCGTTTTTGCGATAACCTACTTTTCGCCAGGAGCCAAGTTCGTGAGGGCTCTGCGTGTCTGGGCCGAAAATCTGGCACTCTCAGAAATTGGCTTCAGCGAAGGTGCACAGGTGCAGTGGCGTTGCCTGAAAGACTCAGCGGAGGGCCAGGGATGAGATCCTCCGCAGAGACCTGGTCAATGGCAGAGGCCGGGAGAAAAGGGGCTTCATGAGGTTCATTGGGAGAAGGTGCCTGCACCGTTGCCGTGTGTTTGTTCTTCACCTTGGGAAGTCGCATGTCGGAGAAGGGATGCTGCCACAACACCTGAAACGGCCGGTGCTAACAATGGCGAACCGCACAAATGCACTGGCCTGAACCTTCGCTGTGCAACCATCGGCGGTTGGAAACTGCCCCTACGACTGGAAGGGTTTTGAGGCATGTGTGAGCCGAGATTTCTGCGCGCCCTGATGTTTCATGGAGCTAACCGGAACGACACGGGCCAGCGATGTCGTGAGGACTGCGCCAGAACGTCAAGCCATTGCCTGCTTATCCTGCTTGTGCTCTTCTGCATCCCCTGAGCCAATGTGATGTAGCCGCAGCACGCTATCCGCAGGCAATGTAACGCGGGCCTTCTTTGGAAGACTCTTTTCCAGCTTTGGCCGACCTGCCACAGACTTCTTAGATCTACGATGATACTGCACCATTTTTTGTTTACGGTCGCGTGATTTGAGCCCGTGGCGCGGAGTTTTCCGACATCCAGCCTCCACCACCACTTTATCCAACAACTTTACGACCTTACCTAAGACCTTGCAGTGAAGAACGTGGCATGTTGGGTCATGTTGTTTCAGTCCGGTTCTTTCGCCTTCAACCATCTTCAACCGAAGGCGTTTCGAACCACAACCACTGCCCATGTCACTCACACCCGCTCGCACACAGCCCCCCGAACCTGTCCCCTTGAACTGCACACTCGACAAGTGCCGCCCTCCTCCTTACTTCGAGAGTTCCACCCCCCCGGATCCCGCCCCGGCAAGATGCCAAGTCCATGTGCACCATCAACACAAACCAAGGCAATTACAGCGAAATGAAACGTGTGCGTTGTTGTATTGATGCACAGCGACATCGCATCTCGCCGTCCTGTGCAATGGGCATCCTGTGCAGCGCACCCGCAGGGCACCCGCAGCTGTGGACCAAAGGCATCGGTGCCATGAAATCTCATGAAAAAACTACCCTGGCTATGAATCTTTGGGCATCAATGCGGTATCTAACTTTTCTGCTGAAGCTTCGAGCAGAAGCAAGGTCGGTGCCGTGCTGCACATGGCCCGCCAAGCTGTCCTGGCCAAGACAGAGGGGTTTTTTTTCACCCTAATGCAGAAACTCTAAGAGCCTCGCTGGCTCTGCATGTCTGCAGGTCGGTATCCGACCGCAAACGGTGACTTAAACTCTTTAGCACCTCTCTGCCATCGTGACTTGGCGGTAGTGCTTTTGCCACCCAGCCAAATTCTTCGTTAGGCAGTCACGTTTCATCAGTACCGAGCGTTCTCAGCTTCACAACCTGGCATGAGGCAAATTGCTATGTACTTTCTGGGGCACGGAACACATGCTGGCGATACTCCACGCCGAGCACCAGAAAGTCTCATACCAGAGCCTGCCACCTCAACATGCGAACCACAAGCACTAAACAAGTTGCAAGAGCACCCGTGCGCTGGTGTGGGCCTGCACGGGCGCTGGGGAGCTCTCCTCAGGGCTACATGAGATCAGCGACGACAATTGTGACCAAGCGGGGCCTGCAGGTCTTTCTCTTCGATTAAATCGGCCGGGCTGGTCTTCACCTGCCATGTCGTCATGCGACGGCATGATGCCAAGGTTTCAAGCTCTGAATTTTGCCAGAGGCACGGAAGTGGCGGCAGTGCATAACGCGCAAGAGAGCCGACAGTACTTCCCTGGTTTGGAGATGTAATGCTCGGCAAACCTTTTCTGCACAACCAGCATGAAACTGGCATAAGTTGAGTCCACAGCTGGCCAGCGGTGGGAAACGGTGGCAATAGCCCATCGAAGCCTCGTCCCCATCAGTGCTGCTTGAAGAAACTAGACAGTGTCGGATATAACGGGCGTGTTGCCCAGCATTTCGCGACTCGCAGAAGCCGAGGGCGTAGCAAAAGACTTGCATCCGGGCAAGTGGTTCCAAACCTTGGATACTCCAAAAGACATGTGCTGAGCTGTCTTTGAACATGTAGCGCGCTCAGCAAAACGCCATGTTCTTGTTGTCGTCCTCGCAGACCTGCACGTGCAAAGCAAGAAATCTCAAACAAACGCAAAGGCCTGCACCACAGCTGGCCTCCGGTTCTGTTTTCTTTTGTGCAGATGCGCCATCTTGAACCAAAGATCCTGTGCGCTTCTGGGCCTCAGAAACTCGGCCCCTAATGGTGTGCAAACGTCGTTACTCAGCAACATTGCAGCAACATCGACATCGAAAGGCCCCCCCCAAGCTTGAGTTTGTGCTCCTGATGTTACAATACCTTTCGAAGAAGCTGCATGTCGGACCCCTGCAGGCGGGATTCGGACCCCTGGGCTGTTTAGGAGATTTGTCTCTTCCTTGTACGTGGCACTGAGGACGCTAACGAGTGTCATCTCAAAAGTTCTCGACATAAATTTGGTCGAACTCATGGTCATGGTCTGAAACTGAAGTTTAGATATGTTTAGATATGCGTCACCATGAACGGTCCCAGATTCTTACTTAAGTTTCTGCAGATGAAGTGAAGAACAGTTGCAAATCCAAGTGGTCAGCCAGCTGGCCAACCCCCGCACATCGACCGCAAATGGAGGAGTGCATCGAACTGTCTTACATCTTCATCTCGAGGACGGCACAGAATGCCTTGCCAATCCTTAGACGCTCAAACTGTCAAGACTCGTGAAGCCATTTACTACGGAACACCCTGCAGGCAAAGCCAAAGCACCCACGCCAACTTGCCATCGCTTTGCATCATAGACCGTGTAGTACTTCCTTCCGCTGTCAGTCGACATATGCTTTGGATCCGGAATGATCTGGAGATTGCTTTTGCATTTTTTGGATTTGCTGTCTGTTTTCGCTATCTGAAGGGAGGGAGAGAGGGGAGGGAGGGGTGAAGGGGGAGGGGTGAGGGGTGGGGAGGTGAAGGGAGGGGAGGGGAGTGAGAGAAGGGCAGGGGAGGGGAGGGAGTGCATACTGCCGGTGAATATTTTTATTTAGGCAGCGTACTCCTCGGAATGCAGCGAAATGGAAAAAATATGGAGCTCCGAGTTCTATGTTTACCTACTGTTGGTGAGGAAACCCTTGAGGTGGTCGTATGTAGTAGTATAGAGGTAGTGCAGGCGTCTCTCTTCAGCTCTCCCGCTGCTTGGCTAGGGAAAACATCGGACCCCAAATTAGGGTTGCCTAACAGAAAGCAAAAACAAAAAACACAAAACACAAGCAACACAAAACAGATAGCAACATAAACGCCACAGGTACACACACACACACTTACAAACGGAACAAAGCACAAATAGAAACATCACACAACCTAGTTAACCCGAAGCTGAACACAACAACAAAACTCCATCAGGCAATTCCACTTCCACATGCAATGCCAGGAAAGCCAATTGCTTCAAGCTCGAAGGGTCCTCAGCGCTGTCTGTCCGAATACCCACATAGGCCCCAGGTTCGGTGGCAGGTCCACCGGCCTCCAAAAGTCAAAGCGATCCCACACCCCCCCCCCCCCC